AGGACCTACGTCGACCTCAAGGTAATCCCTCGAAAACGGCTCAGTGGAAAAAACCTCAGAGCCGCTAGCCATCACCATCTTTTGATCCTGGCACTGCTCCATTCCAGCGCTAATCACCCCGCCGCCCGATGCTCCCCTGTAGCTAGCCACTTGTTTGCCATGCGTATCTTTCTGCCAGTGTGGATGAAGCATTGGATTTTACTCCTCTGTCAGATCATAGCGTGATAGTATAACACAGAAACCCTGTTATTCGTTGTTAAAACCCGCTGAAATGTCTTTTTTGGTGGACCAGGACAAGTGGAAGAACCTGGTGCACACGGCGAGCATCCCCCCGCAGCTGCGGCGGGGGAGGGCGATCCCGCCGCAGGGCCTCCTGGACCGCGTGCTGGCGGCGCAGGCCTACTGGACCGTGCACCACGCCAAGCGCGACGAGGAGGAAGGCCGAGACTAGACCGACCGATCCGTCCATCCTCCCCGTGTAAAAAAAAAAGAAGAGAGAAAGAGAAACGAAGCAAATGCGTGCGCCTGGTGTTGCTGGATGAGAGTCAAATGGCAATGTGTGTACCTAGGGTGCGCAGAGACCCCGGAGCGGGTCTGGGCCGCGTCTTGTTCTGCGACTGTTATGTATGGTTTCTATCTTAGTAGATTGTCAGTCAGCCAAAACCTGGTGCCGGTTCTGTCTGGGTTTGAGGACCAATCTGTTCGGTGTATGTAACTAGAAAATTTATGATGGTATGAAGATGAGGCAAACTCTTTGCCTGTCTGTCTGTCTGTCTGTCTGTCTCATGATGATGTCTATGAGAGGGAGGGATGTGGTGGTGCTCAGGAAATAGGTTTTGCTTGGCCCATTTTGGTTGTTTCCGGTGTTGGTGTGATGTAGCACAGAAATGGCAATGTATGCCAACATTTCTCTGCTCAGGAAATAGGTTTTGCTTGGCCCATTTTGGAGCATACACGTTTGCACCTTTGCGGTGTTGGTATGATGATATATGTAGCATAGAAATGGCAATGTGTATGAGAACATTACCATTATGATGATGATGATCTAGAGGGGGGCGTACAGTGAAGCTCGGCCGGCAGATAGAGCTGGTTCAGGAAAGGCCAATTGGGGAAGGCGTCAGACCTGACGCCTGACTGGTGACGGCGGTTCAGCCCATGTGGATACGGATCGACATAGTGGTATATCCAGACGAAGAAACGGTCTCCTACTTTTTTTATTATGTCGGTGGTTTTCTCTATCTCTATACTAATTATAGGTATATTATTATACTATACTTGCTGTGGTTAAAAAGAACGTAAGGTTTCATCTTTTGTTAATTTTTCTTCACACCACCTCTTCATCCGTCCTCCCCACCTTTCACCGGTTTTTCTCGGTTTTCCACCCCTGTCTGGTTTCATCAAACCAATCTTTGAAAACCCAATAAATCAGATCAATGTTTGGTATAGCAATAAATTCATGGTCCGTAAATAAATTATGTCCTATGGTAAAGCTGGTACCGGTAAGACATCTTTGGCAACCCAATAATAAATATTGAATAGCAATAAATTCATGGTCCGTAAATAAATTATTTTCTATGATAAAACTTGGTACCGATCAGACACTTTTTTAACCCAATAAATAGCAATAATTTCACTGTTTGTGAACAAATAAAAATGGTCAATCTTTATCTTTGGTAATCAATAAGGCAGATCATCACGGACTCACGGGCATATATCTATTTATCAGTTTAAGCAATGACATAAAATCTATGCTTTACAAACAAAACATAATCTTATTTTATGTACTCCCTCCGTTCCTAAATATAAGTCTTTATAGAGATTTCACTAGGTCGACTACATACGGAGCAAAATGAATGAATCTACACTTAAAATGCATCTATATACATCCGTATGTGGTTCATAGTGGAAACTCTACAAAGACTTATATTTAGGAAGGGAGGAAGTATATGTTTTGCATCAAGACTTGTCCCATATGGTTATCTTATTGCGTTAAAAAGTATTTGGCCTCAACAAACGGGCACATACCTACTCGAACAAAAAAGGGGAGCTCATGCTCCCTCTGGCACGGCATAGTGCCCCCTCCCCTGGTGTTTGCGTTAAGCTTTTCTTTTTTGCGAAAAATGACCAGATTTATGAACATGTATAATCGTATTGGGCAAATCCGACATCCTAAACGTCTGCGCGCACATAGTGCCGCAAGTCCCCTCATTTGTCCGCCCCGCCTGTCACACCTTTCAAATTCAAACCTCACTTTCATGTAAGGACACGCACGTGGATCATATAGTTCAGCACCAAATTCAACGAACCAAAATAAACCACAATTCATACATAGAGAGATGCCCGCTTCCTCATGCTTCCAGGCATCGGTGATGTTCGGCCATTGCGAGAGCGCAACCGAGGGTGGGTACCTTCTCGCAGACGGACCGGGCACGGCCAAGTCCATGTTGAAGGCCTACTTCTCCATAGCTTCACAGAAGCGTTGTCAGGCACGCCCCTCCCTCCACAGTGATAGTCTCCGGGTTGTCGCAATGCCCGAGACTCCCGCGGACTCCGCCGAGCTATCCTTCATGGCGGTGGGGGGGGGGAGGGGGGTAGTGGGGATCGACATCTAGGACGATGGACGAGGATGAAGGCACATAGGTGAATCGAGGGTGGAGGAGAGCCATGTCAGGGGCGGTAAAGGGAGGACGAACACGAGAGCATGGCGGTTGATTTGGTGGACTTGGTCAATTTGGAG